AATCAGAATTTTCTGTAAACTTTTGTTAAAATATCAATAAATTTTTTTAAAAACAAAACAAAAAGCCAAAAAATGAATAAAAAGTGTTTAATATTTATCACCGCCTTATCACTCTGTATGAAACACCACTTCTTCTTAAATTAGAAGAGAGCAGTCAGGCTGATCTAGACTCAGTTTGCTAGCACACTGATTAAAAATGTAGTAATACTCTCGTTTCTACTTCTTTATTTGGTTAAGAATAGAAGGAAATGAAATGTTGTTGTTGTTGTTATGTGTCGTCGAGTCGCTTGTAACTCATAGTGACCCTATGTACAACAGCCCTAAACTCTGCTCTCTCCTGTGCCAGTCGCACTGTCTCTGATACACCCATCCCGATACCCCAGTCACTGAAGAAAAATAATAGAATTACCAAGACTAGGAGTTAGTTCTTTGAAAGGATCAATAAAATGGACATATCCCTGACATATTCAACAAAGGCAGAAAACCTAAACTCAAATAATATGAACAAGGCATGACATGGATGACATCATAGCAGAGTCAACTGAAATAAAAGGATAAAAATAAAATACAATGAAAAGCTACATGTCTACAAATTTTTAAATCCAGAAAAACTGGACACATTTTAAGAAACTCACCTCTTATAGTGATACAGATAAAGTAAAACATTTCAATAGATATGTTAAAAGATAAGAAATTGAATAGGTTAGAAAAAACACTCCCAAGCAAAAAAAGTTCCAGGCCAAATTTCTTCAGTGATGAATTCTGCCAGAATTCAGAAGAGAATTGACACCAATACTTTTCCAAACTATTTCAGAATATAGAAAAAGATTAAATACTTTCCAGCACATTCTATGAAGCAAGCACAACCCTGATACCAAAGTCAAGCAGAGGCTCCAGTCATAAAGAAATTTTTTCATCAATATCCTTCATAAACAGATGCAAAATTCTCAATAACACTGTTGCCAAAGTTTAACAGGCCCGCAAGCAATAAATGTTGGAGAGGATACAGAGAGATGGGAACTCTGACACACTGTTGGTGGGAGTGTAAAACGGTACAATCATCCTGGAAGTCAGTTTGGCATTCCCTCAGAAAGCTGAACATAGAAGTTCCAGATGACCCAGCTGTTCCACTCCTTGTATTATATCCTGAGGAAACAGAACTAAGGCACAAATGGAGATTTGTATACCAATGTTTATAGTAGCGTTATTCACAAGTGCAAGAACATGAAAACATCCCAAATATCCAACCACAATCGAATGGATTGAGAAATTGTGATATATTTACACAATGAAATACTATGCAGTATGCAGGGGCAGGTATTTCAAAAATTATTACGTAACTCGGGAGGGACTGGAGAGCATTACACTGAGTGAACTAGCTCAGTCCCTAAGAACAAATACTGTATGAAAACATTATACTAGAAAGATAACTAGTAAAATGTGTATGAGGATCTGGGTGGGAGGAGTAGAGGGGTGAGGATGGGCAGGGAGAAATCATAGGGACACACAATTTGATGGATGGAGGGAGAGGTGGCTTTAGGAAATGGGAAAGATCCAGCAGTGATCTGGAAAGACAGGGCAATGGTGGCCATAGTTCAATGTTGATTAATTTTATAAAATATGATGAATAGGAATGATTGTATAAAACACAATGTGAATGAAGGATAGTGTGAAACACAGTACATATGAACTTTATCATGATCATGTGAGATTTATATCGTGACTGTAAGGATGATTTTATGTAAAAACTCCCAATCATTATAATCTACAACATTAATAAAATAATAGAACCACATGATCATCTCATTTAATGCAAAAAATTCATTTGACAAAATTCTAAAAAAAAATTCTATACACTTTTCTGGTTAAAAAAATAGAAATGGGGGTGGGTAGAGGGATGAAATTGTGCAAAAATCAATGAATAAATGGAAATCCAAGTAACAAAAAAATAGAAATAGAGGAGAAATTGTTCAACAATATTAAAAGCATATGTATCAAACCTGCATGCCAATATTAATTTCAATGGAGAGAGATTTAAGGCATTCCTTTTGCCAGTGGGAATCAGGCAAGTTTGTTCCTATCACCATTCCTATCAATAACCTGCGTTATGCAGATAATACAACCTTGCTTACTTAAGGTGAAGAAGTCTTGAAACACTTGCTGTAGAACATCAAAGACTACAGTCTTCAATATGGATTACGTCTCAACAGCAAGACAAAAATACTCACCACAGGACCCACAGGTGACATAATGATAGATGGAGAATAGATTGAAGTTGTCAACAATTCCATCTTGCTTGGATCCACAATTAACATCCTTGACACCAGCAGTCAAAGATATCAAAAGACCTATTGCATTGTGAAAACTTTCTGTCAAAAACCTCTCTAAAGTGCTGAGTAGAAATGATGTCATTTTGATGACTAAAATGAGCCTGACTAAGCCATGCTTTTTTCAACCACTTCTTATGCATCTTAGAGCTGGACAATGAATAAGGACGGCAGATGAAGAATAAGAAAGATGTCTTTGAGTTTTAGTGTTGGCGAAGAGTACTAAATATTCCATGGGCTGTCAGAAAAAACAAACAAATAAATAAATGAATATATATGTACGCCTTGGAAAAGGTGCAACCATAATGCTCTTTAGAAGCAATAATGGCAAGGATTTATCTCACATATTTTGGGCATGTTTGTATTGTTAGGTGCCTTCAAGTCAAGTACAACCAAAGAACCAAGCCACCCTATGAATAACAGATCTGAATTCTTTCTTATTCTGTGTCATCCTCATCACCTCTAACAAATTCGAGTATACTGAGTGACATATGAATAATCACTCTGTCAATCCACTTGGTTGAGGGTCTTTTCTTTCTCCAAATCTCCACTTTTCCAAGCATGATGTCTCTCTCCAGGAAATAGCCTCTCCTAGCAACATGCCTGAAGTGTGTGAGATGAAGCTTTATCATCTTTGCCTCCAAAGAACACTCTGGCTGCACTTTCTCCAAGAAATATGTTTGTTCCTTTGGCAGCCCATGGGATATTCAATACTCTTCTCCAATACCACAGCTTAAAGACATCATTTCTTCTGTTATCCTTATTTACTGTTCAGCTCTCAGTTACATAGCAAGTGAGCATGTTGTTCGAAGGGGCTATTCCTTGGAAAGGGACATCATGCTTGGAAAGGTAGAAGGTCAGAGAGAGGAAGACCCTCACCCCCATTACCCCAGACACTGAATCAATCCATCTCATCCAGGGCCTTTCTCCCTTGAGCTGCCCCTCCACCCTCCAAAGCATGATGTCCCTCTCCAAGGACTGGTCCCTCCTTGCAATATGCTCCAAGTATGTCAGGCAAAGCCTCAGAATCCTTGCCTCTAAGGAGCAGCCTGGTCTCACCCTCTCCAGGATGAACTTGTTTGTTCTCCTAGCGGTCCACAGTATATTCAATACTCTTCTCCAGCACCACAGCTCAAAGGCATCAATTCTCCTCTATCATCCCTAGTCATTGTCCAGCTTTCTGATTCATAGCAAGTAATTGCAAAGGCCATGACCTGGATCAAGTGCACCTTAGTCTCCAGACACACATAATTTCTCTTCAGTACTCTGGAAATGTCCCTGACTTTCTCAATGCAATTCGTCTTTTGATGTCCTGGCTGCTGGTACCAAGAATGTTGATTGCGGAGCCAAGCAAACTAAAGCTGTTAACAATCTCAATATCTTCACTATCATGATGCTGTCAATTGGTCCACTGGTGAGAATCTGCGTTTTTTTTTTTAATTTTTTTTTGCGTGTGTACCATCAAATCGGATCTGATTGGTACAGGAGGAGATTACCCCTCCTTCTCCAGCAGAGCATCTAGTGGATTCGAACCGTGTACCTCTGGGATTGCAGTGCAGTTTCTTGTCACTAGGCCACCAGAGCTCCTTAATCTTTGTTTTCTTGATGTTGATCTCCAATCCATATTGAAGACCTTGACTTTCTTCAGTAGGAGCTTCAGGTGCTCCTCAGTTTCAGCAGGCAAAGTTGTGTTATCTGCATAACACAGGTTGTTGATGCGTCTTCCTCCAATTCTGATACCACTTTCCTCCTTTTAGAGCCCAGCCTCTTGGATGATCTGTTCTACATATAGATGGGAAAGGTATGGAGACAGGACACATTTCTGGCGTACACCCTTCCCGATTTTAAAACACGCAGTGTTTCCTTATTCTGTTCTGAGGACTGCCTCCTGATCCAAATATAGGTTTCGCATAAGCACTATCAAGTGTTCTGGGATTCCCGTTCTTCTCAGAGTTAGACAGTTTGTTGTGATTCACACAGTCAAATGACTTTTCATAGTCAATGAAACAAAGACAGACATCCCTCTGGTACTCTGCTTTCAGCCAAGAGCCATCTAACATTAGCTATAATATCCTAGTACCCCAGCCTCTTCTAAACCCTGTCGGCACATCTGGCAGTTCTCTGTTGAGGTGCTGTTGCAGTGTTTAAACTTCTGCAGCAAGTGCTTCAAGTCCTCCTCACTTGCAGTAAGGTTATGTCATCTGCATAAGGAAGTGTTCTAGTATTCCCATTCTCTTCAATGTTATATTGAAGGCGTAGCATTGACGAATCTCCACGAAATTAGATAAGGAGTAGGCATTCCTCCTATTATTTTACATTATTATTATGTAATTATGTATATAGCCTGGAAGCCAATAGGAAAAATAGAAATAATGGAATTTTAAGTGAATATTTCTTTCAGTCAAGTTATGAAAAAAAAAAAGTTTGAGGTTCCTCCTCCCCCTTGTTTTTTTTTTTAAAGGAATGGGCCCTCCTTTGGATTCAGGAGTTCCATTCCTCTCTACGTCTCCGCCCTTCTCCTTATGTGTGCTAAATGGTCCCACCAGGCCACTGTCCAAAATGTGGTTCTGCCTTACGTTCGCCTGCGTCGCAAAGAGCCACCCCTTCCGCCCTATTTCCCTCCTTCAGGCCCCGCCCCGCGAAGGTGCGCCTGCGTACAAACGAACACGTGGCTGCCGTGGAGCCAGACGTGCAATGGCGGCCGGCGGCGGAGGTTTTGGCGACCCCCTCTCCCGGGCCGGAATCCCCTGTGCTTTCTCCCCCCACAGCCAGGCCTATTTTGCTTTAGCCTCTACAGACGGCCACTTACGAGTATGGGAGACCGGTAGCAATCGTTTGCATCAAGAATACGTTCCTTCGGCGCACCTCACCGGTACCTGCACCTGCCTGGCTTGGGCGCCAGCGCGGGTACAGGCCAAGGTAAAAGGAGCAGAGCGGCGGTGGGCGGGCGCTCCCCGGGACTGTGCTTGGGTTTGTGGCTCCGGAGCGCGTGACCCTCGCTCGCGCGTGTCCCTTGATGGCCCGCAACGCTGGGACCGAGAGCGCGGTAGCGGGGTTCCCAGGGCCCACGCCGCCAGCCCGGCGTGCGGCCTGGAGGTAGGCAGGCGAGGGCGCGGCCCGATCCTTAGAGCCTTCCACCGGAGTTGTGCGGATCGAGTTTGCGATTTGTGTCCCACTTGCCGGGACGTGTCTGCATTTTTGCAATGGGCCCTGGCTCTCGAGCGTCGCTGTTTCCTGCCGGGCCTTTGGCCGCTTGCACTTATTAGAGTGCTGGCAGTTGACTGGGCTCTTTCTTGGGACTCTTTTGCTTTTCTTCGATTCCATTCAGCTCACCCATCGGCTTTGAGTTGGGTCAGTTTCCTTGCCGCGAAACACCCCTCTTCTCTCTTGAGTGTGGGCTCACCACGTGTTCTCCACGTTCTCATTCTGGGTTCCCTTGAAACGTCTTTAACTTTTCCATCCTCTCCCGTTCTCCGCCGCCCCGAGCCTTCTGACGTGTTCGTAGTGTAGGTAAAGTGGAGTGGTATTTGGCTTATTGAATATGAAATTAGGATAAGTTTCACTTAGTTAGAAAACTGCTGACTTAGGGAATTTCAGACAGTTAGGGACCATCTCAGGTAAGATGCCTGCCATTCACTGTTGAGTCACATCTGCTCTAACTCACGCACGTGCTAAAATACAGCAGCTTTAGGGGAGCCCAATGAAGCACACCGGAGTGGTTTGGATGCTTTAGGCTTAAATTAGGTCTGGTGTATAGTAGTAACCATTTTTAAAACGTCAAAGCTTAGATTTTTTTTTTTTAGGGTAGCTCTTGATTATCGGAGTGCCCATTGAAGCTCTTTGCCAACTTCTTCAAGGGTCTTGGCTGTTGATACATTTAACTTGCAATACTTAGTTGAGCGTGTTTAGCTACTTTTAAGATTGTAAAGCTAGATTTCTGTAGTTTCTAGATAGAATGAATGACTCCTGTTGAATTATGATGGAAGAAGCTTGCCAGGATTCTTGAATGAAACATACAAAACTGGGCTTTTAAAAATTGCAACGCTCTGCATATTTTTTCTTTCCAGAGTCGTGTAAAAATAACCGTAATGCTGACCAGAAGATAGTATTGTGGTTAGGTGCATGGATCCTTGCTCTTCCACATTTACTTGAATCCAGGCTTTGCTTGGTAATAGTAATTGTGGCCCCATGTCCACATTTGTGAGATGGGGATAATATGACTCACTTCACAAAGTGATTGTGTTTAACATAGTAATATATAGCATTATATCAATGGCCAGCTCGGTTAAGGGATAACAAAACTTTTTGCTTTTGTTGAGAGGAAACTGAGGTTTTGGAAAGTTTAGTAACTTGTCTAAAGGAAAGAATAGAATCAGGACTAGAACTCATGTGTCTTTGGTGCACTGGTTTTGGTACCCTGCAACAGATAGTAATATTTGGTTGGCAAAATGTTACCTATTTAGCCTACAGCTATGTTGTCTTTCCCAGGAGTGACACTTTTGCCCAATTCTTAATCCTCAATTTTCTGTTAATATCATCTATTTGGATTTTATGCAACACTTATGACACAGTAGAAAAAGAACAGCATTTAGAGCATAACTGAGATTCAAACTTGGCTTTTGTAAAACTGAGCTGGTCATTTTAATTTAGTACTTTATTTAAAAATGGGATTTGGGTCTCATTTAAAAAAAAGTTTTTATGTTTTGGTAGCCTTTTGCCTTTTTTCTTTAGCTGAGTTTTCTTTATCATTATAGCCACGCAGTAGATCTGAAGCGCCCTGAAATTACTGCCTTTTAAAAACTTGAAGGTTGGATTAAATGTCTTGACCAAAGCCTTAATAAATGGAGTTGTGGTCAGTAGCGTCCGTGGTATTCTGGCTCCTTGGTCTGGTGCCTTTACTCCATTTCCTTAGGTATTGGGTCTCAGAATTGAGGACTGGAAGGAATACAGAGACATCCATCCATTGTTTACCATCTTGGGAGTAATCCTGAAACATCAGTTTTACATGAAAACTAGAGAGATGTATTGTGGGGTTTCCTTCTTCTCTTCTTCCTGTGGTAAAACAAACATTGCACATGTATTTATGGAATACAGTTGCCAACTGTTGAGTGGACCCAACTCATAGTTGACCCTATTCATCGTTGACCCATTTGTAGCTTTCAGCAGGCCCTCCAGTGACAATGGCAGTTAATACAAGGGAGGAAAATTGTCCATCTTTCTCCCACAGAGCAGCCAGCCAATGGATTCAAATTGTAAGCCTATGGATTGGCAAGCTAACTTCTTACTACTAAGCCACCAAAGCTCCCTTGGAGTATAATTACTCACATGATTTTTAAAGATAGAAAATGAAGAGTAGTTTGTCGAACCTCCTTCAAATCCTTGTTCAGGGTCTAGCAATGACATTCACTAGTGTGATGATCATCTCACTTAATCTTTCAGGGTCCTTGAGACCTTTGAGACTTTGTATATAAGTGGCAGAATATGGCTTAGCATGTAACAAATGCCTAGGAAAGGAATATTCTGTTTGGGTTAATTTATCATTTAATACTATATTCAATTCATAAATGTAAATAGCTTTGTAAGAAGATGCTGTGTTTGGATCAATAATTGACTCTTTGCCCCCAAATGTTGTTTCATGAAGTTACTCAGTGGGGAAAAATGAGTTAGTGTTGGGTTCTTAGATAATAGATTAAGGCACTGTTTTAAAAAAATTAAGTTGCTTTTCTGGTTTTTGGTAACCGAATGATAGTTCTTGAGGATTTTTGCACAGCCAGCAGAGCTTTTATTGTTGATGGTGCTTGAGGGTAAAGGACTTTGGATGAAGATAAGAAAATTGAGGAAAGTGCAAAGATACCAGGTTGATAGAGGCTAGATAAGTGAATGTTATTTTTAGGGATACTCAGGATTATAGGTGTAAATTGAAGCTGAAATGTTAAATGTGGGGCCAAAACCACATAGAAAGTACTCAGCCTAGGAAATGATCTTGCTGTTTCATTATCCTCTAAGCCTCTCAGACTTCCTCTTCTCCATCCTCCAACTCCTACTACCCAGGAGGAACAGATTTCCTCTACTCTTGTCTACCACAGGCTGCTTTTCTGTCACTGCAGCCCAATTGATTCCAAGCAACTCAATATACTTCTTGTAGCACATGTCTTTTTCAGACATTGAACTGGACACTTGCATTAAGGATGCTTTTAGGAAAACTGCACTCAATTATCCACACGCTCAACCCTTAGAGATGTTGTATAATCCATATTATGTGTGTTTGTAGGTATCTATCTATTGATCGATCGATCGATCGTATAATTTATATTAGATTTTGTTGGCAGACATAGAAGCTTTTTTGCATTACAGTATACTTGTTCTGATACAAAGTTTTTGTCTAATAATACACAAAATATATAGGGTTTTTTCCACATTGTCCACGAAACATGCCAGAGTAGGTGGCAGTAAGAGAGGCTACATATACGGTTGCTGTGAGTCAGCACTGACTTGATGGAAATTGATTTTTTCTTTTTAAAAGAGGTGAAGAAACGGAACAAGAGATTAATTTTTAGGGTAAAACTTGGGTATACTTTTCATTGGTAGAAGTCAGTGTTTTTTTCTAAATAGGCTTTGAAACAGTGAGTTGTGAAGTTGATACAGTAGGTTTTTGATTGCTTTAGGAAAATGAAATGAAATAAAAAATATCAGTATTAATGCTGGGTAAGAAAAAATATTTTCTGTGAAATTTATTTCAGTTACAAATTTTTTTTTAAATTTTTGTGTGAGTGTACCGTCAAATCAGATTTGACTGTACAGGAGGAGATTACAGAGCATCTGGTGGATTCGAACCGTGTGCCTCTGGGATTGTAGTTGCAGCTCCTTGCCACTAGGCCACCAGAGCTCCCCTTACAAATAGGTTTTTATGTTTGTATATTGGCTGTTCTTAGAAACCCTTACTATGGGGCTCAGTCTAAAACATGTCTTACCGACATAATTACTGATTAGATGTAGACTTAGGAATGTCCTTTTTGTTTCTTGTGCATCTTCATCTGTGTAACTTGCTTTCATAAATTGTGTACATGTACTACTCAGATTCTTACTGCCTCTGGATCAAGTGCAAATTAGCTTTCTTTAGACAGGCTTTTGATGTTTATTGTTTAGCTATAATTTTGCCTCTACTTTGTAAAGAGATGTCTGGTGGTCTCCTGGCAAGAAGCTGCACTGCAATCCTGAAGGCATGCAGTTTGAGTCCACCAGTTGCTCCACTGGAGAAGGATGGGCAGTCTCTTCCCATGCTATTTACAACCTGTGAAAATCCGCCGGAGGGTCAGCTATGGATTATTTCTGACACTACAGTACACAACAACACCTTGTAAAAAGACTGAGTTGTTTTGTGCTGTTGAGTCAGAACTGGCCCATAGCTGACACACCAGAGGGTTTTCAGAGGCGGTAAAATTACACAGGAGGAGGTTGCACGTTCTCTATTTATTGGTACTGGACAAGCCTTTACCTTTGAAAACACAACCAAACCAAAATGGAAAAAAAACAAAACAAAAAAACCCTACAAAAACTCAAAACCTGTCGACGGCCATCCTGTCAATTTAACTCATGGTGACTACATTACTGCAGAGATTGCCCATTTTTTTTTTCTCTTGCAGAGCAGCTGGTCGATTCAGACTTTATGCCTTTGGGATTGACGTGTAGCTAGACCATCAGTATATATTTATTAAGATAAATCACACTTTTTTAGCTTGCCAGACTGAGGCTTTCCAGTTACTAATATAGAAACTGTCTTTTAGCCTACCCATCGCATTTCGTTATTTAGGCAGAAAAAACTAATATGACAAAATAGATAGAAGACATAAAGGTAGTGATTACATTTTCACTGTCTACATGTAAGGCAAAGTAGAGTATGATTTGTGCCTTAAGAGAAAGATTTTGTAGAGTATTATTTGAAGTGGATCTGGATCTCTAAGCTTGGATAGGATTTTTAAAACAATGAAAATTAAGTGGGAAAAGGACCATCCAGGTGGAGAGAAGCAAAGTGGAAAAGTGTGATTTGGGAATGTAATGAAAGGATGGATTTGGGGATGCAGCTGGAAGAGGAGCTTTGGAGGGAAGTTGTTGATGCCTGATTGCTATAGACAAGTTTATACTGATTTATTCTTTGACGAGCCATTGAAGTCAGTTTGACCACAGATACAACAGGTTCAGATAACAAATGTGAACAAAACTTTATTATAATTTCTTTCAATCATCAGTAGCACTAAACTTTTGTTTTCAGACAGATAATATTGAAAATATTTGCTAATTTGTATTGGTTATATATAATTTTGATCTGATTGACCTGTTTAAACATGCTCATTTTGCTTATAGGAAGTTGTTTTTAAAAAGATCATTCTACCTTGAGAAATAATATGTGAGTCAGTAGTTTGAAATGAAAGTAATTGGATTATTACTTAGATTTAGACTAATAAGTATAAAGAAAAAGTGGGACACAGATCCTGTGGGTATATACTCTTGCCTGACCTTGCTTTTGTTTACCAAAAAATGGAGAGACTTTACTGACAGGTTCAAGTTGACAGTGACTATAGTTAAGGTGGTTTTTCTTTTTTGTTTTGTTTTGTTTTTTCTTTTTGAAAATTTGAACTCTTTAATAAAAATTAAACTCTATAATAAAGCATACACATATGTGGACCACGTTGTGTTTCACACATTCAGAAACCTTGATACAGAGGGCCATTCCTCAGGAACTTCGCCGATGTCCTCCAGCGTCCAGTCAGGAACGCCCATCACCAATGATCTCTTCAGCAAAGCCCTGCAGCATGCTCTGCAGGCCTCTGGACAGCCTAGCCTCCAGAGCCAGTGGCAGCCCCAGCTGCAGCAGCTACGTGATATGGGCATCCATGATGAAGAGCTGAGCCTGCGGGCCCTGCAGGCCACTGGAGGGGACATCCAGGTGGCCCTGGAGCTCATCTTTGCCGGGGGAGCCCCCTAAATTCCCAAGTTCTTCTCATCCCTTAACAGTCTGCAAAGGCTGCTGTCCATGGGAGGCCCCGATGATAGTGCCAACACCTCTCCTCTCCCTAATACACCTACTGATGGTCACCTCTTTATGCTTTGTCCAGTGCATGCCCTTTCTGGCTGGTCTGAGCCAAGAAAGGCAGTGGATCAACATGGGGTCTTGGTGCTGTGGTATCAGGGAGTTTGCCAGCTCTGGTTCTGGACACTGGATGGAGAAATTAGACAGAGATCATAAGATGCAAAAAAAAACACAACAAAAAACAACCCCAAAGAGTAGAATATATATTTTCAGGAAGCTTTCAAAGAATGGTTGAATGAGGCTGACATATTTCCCTCCAGGAATCTCTCCCCTTTCCTTGTCTGAAATAGGTGTTTGTGCAGAAAGCACACTTACCTTCTGGGTCATTCAGAGATGGCTTTTAGAAATGACTTTGATTGTTAAGGGCACCAAAGACACTGCTAGTTTCAAGCAGATTAGTTGTTACTGATGAGAACATCATATTTTTTTTATACTTTTGACATTTAATTGTAACTTCCTTAGATCTAATAACATAGAATGTTCCTCTTCCCCCCCCCTTTGTTTTTTGTTAAGTCTTTATACTTTCTTGCTCTGTGTCCATTGACTCAACTTCTTCAAATGTGACATCCCAGTAGAATAACTAAAAGGGCTGAGGGAGAAATGGTTTATACATATACTCTCTTAATAAGACTCTTCATACACCAGTAACACTGTAGTAGTATTTTTGGTGTTTCTTGGGCTGTGTGTCTTGGGCCGCTTTGTACTGTAGAGCAGTGATGATGTACTACTTAAAAAAAAAATATATTTTCTGTAGTCTTTTGCCTTGAAAGAATGCATACTAACATGTGTAATCTGGGATGCTTTAATTTAAAAAAACTCAAATGTGAAAGAGAAGTTCTGAAATGATAATTTTTCAGTATTATAACTCTGATGTTCTCTTAAAACTTCATCATTTTTTTTTTAATAGACATGGTCTATTAGTATCACTTTTGAAATCAAGAAATAAGTATAAAAGATCACCATTTTTTGGGTTTTTTATTAAATTTTTTTATTAATGATTTTTTAATGCAACATTTTTTTACAGCATATTCTTTCCATTTAATTTTTCCCTCATTCATTCACTGTTGAACATTTTCCTCCCTGCCCACCCCTCCCCCCTAGTTCATTCTTCTCTTTGGAAGAAAAGAATCCTTTCATTGTTACACAATCCTCAGCCCCCCACCCCCATCCACTGTCCACTTTAGCATGCATTTCTTTTTCTTTTCTCTTGTCATGAAAATAATACCTAATCCTACATTCAAAAGGTCACTATTTTGCAACTTGTATCTCTTCTGTTATAGAAATACTAAGCCAGCTTGATGTTGTTAGGTGCCACTGAATTGACTATGACTCATAATGAACAACACATCTAATCCTTGTTCTATCCTGTGCCATCTTCATCATCTCTGACATGCTTGAGCCCATTGCCGCAGTCATTGTATCAGTCTGTCTTATTGCGGGTCCACTTTTCCAAACATGATGTCCTTTCCAAGGAATAGTTTCTCCTAGCAGCATCCCCAAAATATGTGCGATGCGCGGTGCAGGTTTGTCAGCTTTGCCTCCAAAGAACATTTTGGCTGCACTTTCTCCCAAGACTTCTCTTATAGCAGTCTGTGAGATATTCAGTATTCTTCTCCAACAGCCCAACTCCAAGTCTTGGATTATTCTTCTGTCATTCAGTGTCCATCTTTGAGATGCATAGTGACTGAAAAAGCTTGAGTCAGGTGTATCTTAGTTTTTAAACTGACATCATTGCTCCTTAATTCTTTCGAGAGATCTCTGACAAGCGAACTTGACCAGTCCAACGTTCCTTTTGATTTCTTTTCTTTTTTTTTTCTATAATTATATTTTATTAATTTTCATAAACATTTACAGAGATTTTGGGCTTCCACTCATTCATTGTTGCACTATTCTCTCTACCCTCCTCCCAGTTTGTTCTTGTCCAAATGCCACAGTGCTTGTCAAAGCCAGTTCTGATTAATCTTCTTTGTCAGTGTGTCCTTTGCCATTCCCTATCACACTCCTCCCTGAGAGAGACTTCACCCTGAGTCATAAGGAAAAGGGGATGGCGTATTCTCTTAGCTACTTCCTGCTGAAAAGGGACGCTGTGGGTTTCAGGGTGAAGATCTTCTCTCACTACTCTAAAGGGCCCCTTTGGCAGTAGGAAACACATAGACTATTATGGAGATTGATTTTGGAATTCAGATGCATTCTTATTGATTGTGCTTGGCTGTACATGTACATATCCTTCAAGATGTATCATGGGGGTGTTGCAACCTAGAAGACACAAATTTGACTAACAAGTTATAAGTACATGAGTCCAAAAATTATGGAAAAGTAAAAGAAAAGATTCTTTCATTGTTTTACAAACCCTCCCCCAGGTCCCCTCCACCATGCAGCCCTCGCTCTAGTCTCCTGTGATGACAGAAATACCTAGTTATATCTCTCTTTTAGACGGTTTTCTCCCTCCTCTGTTTCAGTGCAGTATACATTATTGAACCCATCTTACTCAGTCTCTCCCCAACCCCAAGGACAGTCCCATTCTACAACAGTGGCATCATGTAATATTTGTCCTTTTGTGACTGGGATATTTCACTCAGCATAATGTTCTCCTTTTGATTTCTTGAGTCTTGATACCAAGGATGTTGATTGTGCATTTAGATAAGTTGAAGTTGTTGGCAGTTTCAACCTTCTCTACATCTATTATAGTGATCCTTAAGTATAGCAGAATGAAACATTGATCTGTCTAATCTATGAGATCCTCCTTTCTGTTGCAGTGTTACTGTTTTTCTTTTTTATGTAGAAAGAAATCAGCTGAGAGGAAGTCTTCCTTGTCTTCTCTCTTTTTCTCTTTTTTAAAAAAAGAATACAAACCCTTGTGTGGAGGGCTGCCTGTCAGTAGCTCCTCACAGCAAGGGAGCTGCTCTGCCATAGATGAAACCCCCACTTCCTGTGCTCTCTTTTAAAATATTTCTGAGTGAAAAGATGATTTCTTTTAAGGACTAAGAGATATTCACATTTGTGCATTAATGATATTTCAATGTTTGAAATATTAAATAAAAAATCTTATTCTTTTTCCACCTCCAGGAAGGTCCCCAGAGGAAAAAAAGGAAATCCGAAGCTACAGAAACAAGTAACCAGATTGACTTGTTGGCTCTTGGCACGGCAGTGGGCAGCATTTTATTATACAGCACAGTAAAAGGAGAGTTACACAGTAAATTAATAGTAAGTATATGTGCTTCTCTTCTATTTAAAAATATCAGTGGGAAACTCATTTTTCAAAAAACAGAACACTTGGCTGGCTGTTAGGTGGTGTTATAGAAGCAGTCTTTAGCCCCTTCTCCATGTAAAGTGCTGAGTGAAAGAGTATTTGGTGATACCTGTAATCGCCTAACATAGTTTTTTAGGGGTCATAAACTGTCTCAGTACTCTGGGTATGCTTCTCTTAACTGAACTGTCAAGATACGATTATTCCCAGTTATCAAGAGGATAATTGAGAAACTTGCTATCCTAAGCTGGTCGTTGTGTGCTGTTGAGTCAGAACCGATCCCATAGCTGCCCCTCTGGCTAGTTTTCAGAGGCAGTAAATTGCACAGGAGGAGATTGCTCACCCTTCTCAGAGCAGCTGGTGGATTTGAGTCTCATGCCTTTGAGATTGAAGTACAGCTTCTTAGCACTAGGCCACCAGAGCTCACTCTCCAAAAGTTATACAACTAATAATTGGTAGAATAAAGAATTGAATTAGGAGTCTGTTTCCAGAGTTTTAGGTTTTAGCCAGTACCGTCCATTACAGTTGAAGAGAGTGTAAGATGTCAGGTTGCTAATCATGAGGTCACTGATTCCAGTCTACCAGGTGCTTTTGGGGGGAGAAACCTGGGTGATTTCCTTCTGCTTTGGGCCCCTTCACAGCCTTGGAAACCTGGAGGAGGGTCATTGTCATTGTTGTTGTTGTGTACTGATGATTTGGAACTGACTCATAGCTGACCTCCAGTGGGTTTTCAGAGGCAGTTAATCACACGGGAGGAGGAGATTGCCTATCCTTCTCACAGGTAACTGGAGGAGTCAAACCCTGTACCTTTGCGTTGGTAGCACAGTTCATTACCACACATCAGAGTGTACTAATTGGAATTGATTTGAAGGCAGTGAGTTTCCTGAGAGCGTTTGGCAGTAATGGAAAGATTCTGAGGCTGCATTGTCCTAAGGGGCTGCTATAACTGAGGATCAGAAATTTAAGACTAGTTTAGTTCTAATTATTTTTCATGTAAGCAGCCCCAAGCAGATAGTAAATACTTGTTGGGCAGGATGCCCCTACCACTGCTGATTTGATGATGACATTCAGTCATCAATAAAGTTGGGATAATATCTGCCTCACTAGCTTAGTAGTGAGGATTAACTGGAATAGCAGTGAAAATCCTCTTTAAGCTGTAAATCTGAGGCAGTTTAACTTTTTTTTCAGTCTGAAGAGGAAAGAGCTGGGTTTTATACTAAAATTACTCATTACTCCTCTTAAACTCCCTTCAACATTTCTAAAGCTAAGCATAAAAGCAGGTTCTAGGAAGAAGAAAGGCTTGAAAGCAGTTTTACTTTCTTCTAGTGCTTAAATTTCCTGTGTTGAGGCTGGTTTACAACCTGAGAATGCTGATATCGTGCCCATTTAATAGGGGAAACCACCGTAGTTGTTTGAAGAGAGAATTTAAAATGATTAATTGTTGATGAGACTTAAAGTAGGAAAGGGTAGGGGAAAAAAATTCACAAAGTATAGCAACTGGAAGCAGCTTCTCAGGCTAGGAGAACTGTGGAAGTAGTTGGGAAGATGAAAACCTTTAAACTTGAGAGAAGGCATCCTATAATGCTGAAACTCAGATCTCTCAGGGAAGAAGTCCTGTGTTGATGCTGCCGTTTCCTGAGACGTAATCCCATAGATTTGGGCCCAGGCTTCAGTTGACTGATGACGAATGTCTCTGAATGGAAGTGATGAGAACTGGTTCGTCAGGTGTTGAGAAGATTGCATATTGGATTCTGCTGCTGTTGTGAAAAAGCATTGTTGGGGTGATGGAAGTGAGACAGGAAGGAGCAAGTATCCCTTATTGGTCATGCTTACTGTGGATGTAGCTAGCAAAGCAGAAAGGTGGATTGCAGCTTCAGGCCGGCACCACAGAGGCGGCTAGAGAAGAATGCGTTTGGCACAGAGAGACAGTCATTTAAATGGCATAATGTGTTTTTGATAGTATATGTTACAACTTGTTTTTGTATATTGGCATACTTACTTTGTGTATAAAAGCAGACGTTTTGGTCATAAAAAATTTGAAACTACTTGAAAGTTGAAAAGGGAGGAAAATTTTTACTTAAATCTATCACCAAGAGATAAACTAGTTAAAGCTTGTATATTTCATTGTATTTTGTGCATATTTGAAACAAATTTGGTTGGATTTTACCTGTAGATTGTGTGTCCATATTTCCCCCCATTAAAAACTATATTTTTTAATCAGTTGGTATTGACTCAGTGCTGATGGATAGGTCTAAAGTTCTATTCAATTTGATACACTCTTAATGCAGTGACCATTTAAGTGGCTTTCAAATTTTTCTGTTGTCACTTAACAGTGGATTGTTTTATCTTCTTCCATGAATTCTCAGAATTACTGAGTCAGAGGGTTTGAGCAAGAAGGCTCTTTAGACTTAGTGTAAAGAAAGCTGCCAAAGAAGTTTCCTAATTTGTACTTACATCAGCAATGAGAGGATCTTGTCAGTTGTTAAAAGTCATTGCTGAAAAGGTAACTGCATTCTAGTAACATTAATGCCACCATAAAGTGCCTTGGTGGCACAGCGGTAATACACTTGGCTGCTAACCTAAAGGTTGATGGTTTGAACCTATCGCCTGTTCTAGAGGAAGGAGATGTGGCAGTCAGTCTGCTACTGTCAGAATGGACAGTGCTGGAAACTTTAAGGGGCCGTTTGCCACCGTCACAGAGTTGAGTTGTCTCAACAGCATTGATTTCATTACCGTCTTTGACTTCTCCCTAAAACAAGCTCCAGTCCCCCAGCTATTTTGGCAGAAGGAGTTTATTGTCATGGTTTTAGATAGGCATTTAAAAAACATTATTTTTATCTTAAAGCTTGTGTTGTAAAACTGGCCCCTCTTTTGAGTTTTCTGGAGCTTTACATCACACAGGAGGTGATTGTCCATTTTCTTCACACAAAGCTGCTCTTGGATTCAAAGCATCAAACAGGTACATTTGGTTTAGCAGCACAACTCTCTATGGACTTTGCCACCAGGTTGTTATTAGTAAGTAGGTGATGTGTAACAACCACATTAATATTCATCTGGAAAGAAAACATTCAGAAATACACAACACATATGTGTGTATATAATATACATTGTTGTTGTTGTTGTTATGTGCCTTCGAGTCGTTTCCGACTCATAGCGACCCTATGCACAGCAGCCCTAAACCCTGCGCTATCCTGCGCCAACCGCACTGCTCTGACACACCCATCCCGATTACCCCAGTCACCGAATCAATCCATCTCATAGAGGGTCTTCCCCTCCTGCGTTGTCCCTCAACCCTCCCAAGCATGAT